TGCTGCATTTATGCGCACAAATGAAAATGGGAGTGGGAGAGAAGCCAATTTTTCTCTATAAGAAGCAAGATTTGTTCCAATACATGATTCACGCTATAGGGTTGCTAACATCATTTATCTCCCTGGTACTGTAAATATTGGATTGAGGGTTTTTCAGGCCAGCTTTTGAACCAACCCAGGGAATGTGGTTTGTCTAATATAGCTTATTGGTTGTATTATTTATCTAGGAAAGATGCACCTTTTTTATCCCATTGACAGTTATTGTCTGAAACAGAATTTTGGAATTCTTCCATTCCTCTTTCTTCCCAATGGCAAACTAACTCTGTTTGGTAAAGCGCTTCCCATGAATTTCCCTGTGACCACTGTGAAGGCTGTTAACCGGTTATAATTTATGACTTGCTGCCAAATATTCATTAGGCTTTCTTTAACTGACTGTTTAACTTTGTTTCCAGGCCAGAAATCTTGGACTTAGCCATGAACTTAACTTCCTTTCCAAATTTTTAACCGTCAAAGCAGAGTAAAGGTGACACTGGCAAGATTAAGGGTCCAAAATGTACCATGCCTTGGTATACCTGAAATTTGTCATTGGCTAATAGTTGTTATCATTATCTAAGACAAGTCACAGACTGAGGTTTCCTGCGGAAGGCTCTCCGTAGATTTATGGGTGCCAGGGAAGGCTTCTGGGGAGAGAAGCTGTTCTTTAAGCTGCAGTGTATTTGACAGATTGTACAGTACCTCACAGGAGGTATTTTTCCTTGATGTGTCATCATTGGTAACTCTGGTGCAACATTTCATCAATAGCAGAATGAAAAGCTCTTTTGGGTGAAAGTGCTGCTGAGACAATGATTTCTTTCTAAGAGGGAGAAAGGCGCGTTGTCAGAAACGACAAGCCAATAGCGTAATTGATTGCGAGGGAGGAATCCATACCATACGTTACACTTGGGAGCTATTTAGCAATTGCCACCCATGTCATAGAGTCTGCTGGAATCTGGAACATAGTAAGTTAAGACTAAGGCTGGTCTCAGTGGGGATTCTGGGTAGTGGGATACCAAAATGTGGTTGGTTCTAGGACAGACAGGAGGTTATATGATTCTCTACTGACGGGTAAAGGCATCATTCAGGTATTGTGTCCAGTTCAGCCTAGGATAGTCATGACCAAAAGCTGCCCCCCTCATATGTCATATCAATGGTCTGTGCAACATAAGACACTTATGTTTCAGGCTGGTTCTTCATCGCTCAAACCACTATAACAAATGGTTCCCCTTCTTGGAATTTCATCTGGAATTAAACAGACCCTGGGCTCATTCAGGACAAAGCTGAAGTCCTGGTGAAGCATGTAGAAGCTGACAATGCTGCCATCTCTGCTGTATGTGATTTACAGATGAAGTGAGCTTCATGCTGGGTTGGCATGTAGGCAAGGGAGAAACACAGATCTTCATGGGGCGCATCTACATGAGACACTTTACTTGAGATTAGAACAAATTACTGCGCAGTAAACATCACTGTCTACACTTGCAGATGCTTACTGCGCAGTAATCTGCTCTAATCACAAGTAAATTTGCTACCTGTAAATACAAGTACAAATTTACTTGGGAGTAATTACTGCGCAGTATGGCACCTGTAGTCAGCTGACTGGGAGTAAATGTGCTCCTGGTCAGCTGAGCAGCAGGAGGTGGGAGATTGCTCCCTGCCCCTGGGAGCTGCCTGCTGCAGGGGCAGGTTTTGCCACTGGACCCTGGACGGGGACAACATTGCTATGTCCTAGCAGCAGGGAGATCCTAGCTCTGGCTCGACATTTGGAGAGCAGGAGCTCGGAGATGATTGTTCCTAGCCCCAGCTCCACGACCTGGAGTGGGGGCTGGGAGATTCTTATCTGGAAGAGGCATGGGGCAGGGGCTGGGAGCTCCCTGCTGCTAGGGCAGCAGGCTCTGGTGGCAATGCCTACCCTGGCAGCAAGCAACTCCCAGGGGCAGGGAGCAATGGCCTAGCCCCTGACAGGAGACAGTTGTTTCCTGGCCCCCTGCTCCCTGCCAGTCCCTGGGATACCATCCAGGGGGAGCCTAGAGCTCCCCCTGGCTGCTGAAGGCAGCTGGTGCAGGGGCAGTGGGCATGGAAGCAGGAGCAGATTTGCTGCTCATGTCAGCAGTCTGCTCCCACTTCCCCACACATGTAATACCTGCCTGGGGTGGGTTTACTCTAGAGTAAATTACTCAGTAAACCCACCACGGAGCATTTGCACATGTAGACATGCCCATAGATACATTTATATAGATGAGTAGGGCACTCAGACAATAAGGAGATGGATACAATGCAGAAACCTGGACAAACAGATACCAGTGGTATAACAGTCTTTGGAATAGGTCTTTATCTGCCAGAGATCAGCATAGCTGTATTGAATCCAGTGGAACTGTCCTGATTTACATGGGACTGGGTCTAGATGGGATCTCTGGGTCACTGAAGTCACTCTTCTTGTGCAGGTCACCACTTCATAGTTACGTTCACATCCTTATCAAATTCCATCTTAAAATTAATTAGGTTATGCTAGCCCAAAATGAGATGCTATCAGGGAATCTGATAGTAGAAATGGTTGGAAGGAAATGATCCTTACATCCAAATATGGGATTGTTTAAGCCTAAGGGTGTTTCCAAACATCCCAGCCTGATATTTTCATGTGTGCTCTATTTCCTCTCCAGAAGTGTCATTTTTAGTTCTATTAAAAACCAGAACAGCAAAAGTATGACTATGGGCATGTCTTTGTTTCCTGGGAGCCACTTACAGAGGACGTGGAAGAAAATGAGTAATTAGTCATTTGTGAATTACTGAAGCAGGATGCTGTAGAATTAGAATGAATTTTGGCAGTGGGAAGGAGGCAAGTGAATCATTCGTTCGGAGCTAAAAAGCATATCTTGAAGATGATATGAGAATTTTAAACCAGATCTTTCATCTTCCAATCTCTCAAAAACTCCGGGTTCACTTGAGGTTGTCAACAGGTCCCAAACTTGCCCATGCTGAAAATGAAGTCCCACCATTCCTAGCTCGTCCCCAGCTCTGAAAAGGGTGTGCAGTTTTTCTGGCTCTGGATTGAACCCTGAGGTATATTTGCTAAATATTATGATTTGAGAGCCTAGACATTTTTTATTTTCTCTTCATTGCTCAAAGAGAAGTTGTGGGCAGGAGCAGTAATTGCTGGCTGATATACTTTGGCCTGTTTTATGCAGAAGGTCATATGTAGATGAGCACAGTGGCTCCTGGAAAGCTATGAATCTCTAATATTCTTAGAAAAATAGTTTTTTTTCCCTTTTCAAAAAAGCTGTGGTGAGGAAATGGGTGTATTGGGAAGGGGTTGGGGATGCTGGTTGAGAGATTTCTTATTTGAAGGCAGGCAATGTTCCCTTCAAATTCCCTGGTGGCTAGTGTGGTAAACTGGCACTAGGGCAGCTTGGGTCCAATGCCTGACTCTATCACTTGCCTGCTGCATAGCCTTGGGCATGGCACTGCATTGCTCTGTGCCTCAGTTTCCCCACCTATAAAAAGAGAATATCCTGTCATCTCTTAGGTAAAATGTTGTGCAGTCTCCTGCTGAAGAGTGCTGTATAAGAGCAAGACATTTGTTTTTAAGATGAATCCTTTAATTATAGTTTACATCTTTGCCTGCCATTTAAAATCTAGCCCTTGCTTTGCACCATTTGCACAACTGAACGCTTAAATCCTAGGTAACAGAGACTCTGAATCTTGTGGAAAGGGTGGGAGGCTGCTTTGCAGCAGGAAGCAAGAACTGCAGCTTGTACTGCGATGTCTTGTTAAAAATTCATGCCAAGAACAGATAATCAGAGAGGCGAGGTGGGGTGGGGAGAACTCTTGTATTTATGTGGCTGTCTTCAGAACGCATCCAGCAAGATGGGCAGAAAGCGACCCAAGCAGGCTGCCAATGGTGTGTGTTAACCACCTGCTTCAGAGACTGGTATGGGGGTTGGGGAATTGATTGTACATTGCCTCATTGCAAAAAATAAAACAGGACCACATTTCTTGCAGTTCTGAAGTAGACTTTGGTATGATCTCACCCCTGTTGTTATCAATGGAGCTCAGCCGGTTCCCTGTCCTTAGGCTACTGGCGCACTGGAGAAACGATGAACTATTTTTATATCTTAATCAATAATCGAGAGACAAGATACCTTTGAAGGCACAGATCACTGCAGGAAGTGGCAGTATCATCTCTCTAGTTAATGCTTTTTCAGAGACCAGTGAATTACTACTCAGTGCGCAACTAATGCAGTAAAGCTAATGCAAGATATAACGATAGTGATGAACATGGGGCGGCAACTGAACACTGGGAAAGCTAATCCTCTTTCAAGAAGTGCCTTGTAATCTAGCGCAGAATTAAAACAAAAAGATGGGTTTTTAATGATGGATTATAAGCACAAGCCCCTGTTTTATCTTGGATGCTGTCAGTAGACTGCCAGAATAAAAAATTGTCCAGGCTTTCTACCATGTGTCACAGCTAAAACAGCATTTGATCTTCCATCTTGAGATAAATGGTTCCTACTGGATATTATTCAGCTGGATTCAGTCAGTTCACGGCACACCCTGGTTAGGATTCGATGAGCCTCTTTGTAAAAGGGAAACTGAGCCAACAGTGCAAGTGTTCAGGATTCAGGGTGTGCAGCACCGAGCTAAATCTGTGTGTGTGTGGAAAAAGTTGTTCAGCCAAGAGATCTCAGAGTTTATGCAGCACAGTTGCTCTGACTTTCTAGATTCACAAAATAACACAGACAGGTAGGCCCTAGTTAGAGAGATATATCCTCCTCTTTTGGGGTCTAAAACATATAATGAGAGCCACTGGAAGGCTTACATGATATAAAGGGATACAGTGTAATTCCTACAGTCTATAATGTGTGTCGCATGTCAGAGTGTGCAGTGCTTTGATGTCCATGTTATCTGTTTGATGGGAAAGTGCAGGGAGGTGTCCCTACGCAAGGTTAGCCATGACCTTAAGAGCTCACCTGAGCAATGCTTCTGCAGTCGAAGGATCTCCAGGTGCAGGTCACGCAGCAGCTCCATCTGTTCCTTCTTCAGGAAGGCAATGTGTCGCTGCACGCTCTGGATCTGATGCTCCAGGGACACAGTCTCCATTGCAACAAAATTAACAGTCCAAGCCTGGAGGGAGAAGATGGTTCATGATCAGACATTCAGCCATGTACTGTACTTGTGAGTCAACAGCTGAAGTGAGGATTATCCCTGCAGCCTTTGCAGGAGACAGTTACGAAGGGAGTCTAACGATGCTTGAGAAGGACTGAGTTTCAGGTGCTCTTAATTTCTCTTTCTCACTCCATCTGTTGAATATACTTTAAATCCCTTTATCTTGATAGACCCCCCCCACCAAGGCTCTATACTTGCAAGTAACATGGAGAAGACATAAATGTAGAATCAGAAAGTAAGTTCTATATGTTTCAGCCTGATCTAGATGGGAAGGGCACAGACAAGACACCTGAGGGGAGAGTGGATTGAGACAAAGGGCGTGTCTACATGTGCATTAACACATTTTAGTTAACACGCATTAAATCTAGTACCTCCATTGTGAGGTACTAGGAAAATGCGCTTTAGCCTGTTGTAATGTGTACTAACTAGAGAGCACAGTTCTTAAGTTCCCTAGTTTAACCCCTAGTACATTAACGGTGAATGCGCATCAGCTTATTTTAATGCATATGAACTAAATAGCACTGTTTTTTCAGTAATGCTTTAATATGCATTAAAAATAGGATAATGCACATTAAAGAGCATGTGTAGACGTGTCCAGCCTGGAGGAAGGCTGACATTGGAGGCTGGCAAAGGATTTGGGGATAGTGGAAAGGAGCTTGGAAGTTGGGAGGAAGGCTAGGACTAAGGGATTGAAAGGTTGGAACTCACTGGGGAGGGAAACCGGGTGTCAGGGAGGGAAGGGAGTAGAAGCTAATTGATGTAAGGAGATGAGGAATGGATGAGGAGCTGGAGTGAGCAGATTGGGACTGGCTGAGCTGCGGGGCTGAGGGGGATGGAGGGAAATGAATGCGACAAAAAGCCAGGGAACAGGGGAGACTGGAACTAGCATGGAAAAGGGAGGTTGAGACAGAGCAAGGAGGGAACACAGAGACTGGCTGAAGAGCCTGGGAAGGGAGACTGGGACTGGAGCCTGTGCATTTGGGGAACTGTATCTGAAGGGTGTGGGGAGAACCAGTTCAGAAGAGAAGCAGGATGGACTTCATGGGCAAAGATGCTGGGACATAAGAAGCTGGAACATATATATTAGTGGCAGAGACAGGTAATGCCCAAGGAGAGAGAGCACAGAAAAGGCTGAGGGACTGGCTGAGGGTAGATGAAAGGGAGACTGGGACTGGAACTGGACATCAGAAAGGTGAGACATGCTGGGCAAAAAGACTGGAAGAGGATGAGAAGCTTGGAGAGTGGAGATTGGGAATGGGACAAAGAGACATTGATAGTGAAGAGATAGGAGCGAAGTAGGAACTGGCTGGAGGAGACATGGCAGAGAGGTCTGTAATGGGGTCATCTGGACTTTTAAGGGTCTCTAGTTGCTTAACAGAAAGCACCTAGGCTGGAGTTGAGAGGAGTGGGTGGTCCACAGGGTGCTCTCTTAAGAGAAGGAGAAGCAATTAAGCACTTTCCTGGGGTGGGAGCAAGGGTGAGAGCATTGGCGGCGAGGAACACGAGATCAGCAGATGTGGAACAGCAGTGACAGCAGGCTGAAACAGATTACAGTGGTGTTTCACATGACCAAGAGGGGAGCAAAGGCATGTGTTGTCATTCGATGCCAGAGATGGGATCTGACCCTTCCCCTGTCGAGGAGCGATGCAAGCCCAGGGAAACTTCGGGGGTTTGGCATGTATTTTTGGATGTGGCTTCAGTGACTCTTTCCCTGAAGGCAGGGAGGTAGGTATGTGATCTGGCTGCATGACCAAGTCTAGACCATAGGAGCTCCGTGGAAGAGACTAAAGCGGGGAGAGTGTAATGTAAGGGTGCTCGGGAGGAGGTGCTCCAGATTGCCAAGTCAACTACAAAGCCAAGTT